GGTACAGCTTCCCTTTGAGCGTTCTGGAACACCTTCGATTGCAGAGGATTCCGGTGAACTCCCTCCATTTCAGCGTTGACCCGAGCCTTCACCGCCTGATCCACACTACCGTCGGCTGCCAGATCGCTCCCAAGGTATCGGAAGTCCTCCACCCTTTCGATGGTCTCACCATGGCCGTCCACGATCGGCTCTGCACCCTCTTCGGAGCTCAGGAACTTGGTCTTCTTGACATTCAGCCGTAGCCCATTCGCTGCATTGTTTTACCTTTATGTATTTGAAAGCAGTACAATTTGAGAATAGCACTGTTTTTAGGGACACTGTAGTGAAAACGTTTTCTTCTATTGAGCGTGAGGACTTCGCTAACTACCGACCAATAAGTCTTCTCTCGGTGATTTACAAAACATTCACGAAAATACTGCTTAATCGCATGGAAAGAACTTTGGATGAATACCAGCCAGTGGAGCAAACTGGATTCAGAAAGAACTTTTCATGCATGGACAACATACAAGCAGTCACCCAGCTCATCGAGAGGTGTACCACCTTCCCTTGGTTCTTATTTTCGTTGATTACAGAAAGGCATTCGACTCAGTGGAGATCAACGCTGTCCTGAATGCCCTCACGCAGGCTGGAGTTCTCCCTGCATATATCCATTTACTCGAGCAGTGTTTTTCGAACACATCAACAACTATACAGCTGTTCGACCGTAAGTTGAAGATCCCAATCGAAAAAGGAGTAAGGCAAGGAGACACGATATCGAAAAAGGAGTAAGGCAAGGAGACACGATATCTCCGAAATTGTTCACGGCCGCACTACAGTATGCTATGTCTAACCTTAACTGGGAAGACAAAGGATACCCCATCGATGGAAAAAGAATCAATAACCTCCGTTTCGCTGATGATATCGTTTTAGTCTCCACCAACACAGCTGAAATGGAAGAGATGATCAACGAACTCAATGTGGAGGGTCTGAAGATTGGATTGGAAATGAATATGTCCAAAACGCAAATGATGGTGAACCAGTGGAGTGATATGGGAGAAGTAAAATTGGCAGGAATAGCTCTACAAAGAGTGGAATCCTACGTATATCTGGGAAAAGAGCTGAACATGACAAACAACATCGTTTCTGAAATACACCGCAGAAAACGAGCAGCATGGACAGCTTTCGGATCGATTCGCGAAGTAACAGATCAAGTAAATGACCCGGAGTTGAAAGCCTGCATATTCAACACTTCAGTATTGCCAGCAATGTACTTCGCGACCAGAGTCAACC